TATTCTGTTGCTTTGGGATGGAATGTTCTGAATATATCTGTGAAGTCCATCTGGTTCAGTGTGTCATTCAAATCTCTTATTTCTGTGTTCATCTTTTGCTTAGATGATCTGTCCATTTCAGTGAGGGTGGTGTTAAAGTTCCCTACTATTATTGTATTATTGTTGATGTGTTTCTTTGATTTTGTTATTAATTGGCTTATAGAACTGGCTGCTCCCATGTTAGGGGGAATAGATATTTAAAACTGTTAGATCTTCTTGTTGGATAGACCCTTTAAGTATGATTTGGTGTCCTTCCTCCTCTCTTATTACAGTCTTTAACATCTAATTTGTCTAAGGATTGCACTCCAGCTTTCTTTTGGTGTCCATTAGCATGGGAAATGGTTTTCCACTCCCTCACTTTAAATCTGGAGGGGTCTTTGGGTCTAAAATGAATCTCTTGCAGACAGCATACCAATGGGTCTTGTTTTTTTTATCCAATCTGATACCCTATGTCTTTAGATTGGGGCAGTTAGCCCATTTACACTTAGGATAACTATTGAAAGATATGAATTTAGTGCCATTGTATTGCCTGTAAGGTGACTGTTACTCTATATTGTCTGTGTTCCTTTCTGGTCTATGTTACTTTTAGGCTCTCTCTTTGCTTAGGGGACCCCTTTCAATATTTCTTGTAAGTTTGGTTTGGTGTTTGCAAATTCTTTAAGTTTTTGTTTGTCCTGGAAGCTTTTTATCTCTCCTTCTATTTTCAATGACAGTCTAGCTGGATATAGTATTCTTGGCTGCATATTTTTCTCATTTAGTGCTCTGAATATATCATGCCAGTCCTTTCTGGCCTGCCAGGTCTCTGTGGATAGGTCTGTTGCCAATCTAATGTTTCTACCATTATAGGTTACGTATCTCTTCTCCCGAGCTGCTTTCAGGATTTTCTTTTTGTCTCTGAGACTCGTAAGTTTTACTATTAGATGTCGGGGTGTTGACCTATTTTTATTGATTTTGAGAGGGGTTCTCTGTGCCTCCTGGATTTTGATGCCTGTTTCCTTCCCCACATTAGGGAAGTTCTCTGTTATAATTTGCTCCAGTATACCTTCTGCCCCTCTTTCTCTTTCTTCTTCTTCTGGGATCCCAGTATTCTAACGTTGTTTCACTTATGGTATCACTTATCTCTCAAATTCTCCCCTCGTGATCTAGCAGTTGTTTATCTCTCTTTTTCTCAGCTTCTTTATTCTCCATCATGTGGTCTTCTATATCACTAATTCTCTCTTCTGTGTCATTTATCCTAGCAGTTAGAGCCTCCATTTTTTACTGCACCTCATTAATAGCCTTTTTGATTTCGACTTGGTAAGATTTTAGTTCTTTTATTTCTCCAGAAAGGGATTCTCTAGTATCTCCTATGCTTTTTTCAAACCCAGCTATTATCTTTATAATCGTCATTCTGAACTCTAGTTCTGACATCTTACTAATGTCTGTATTGATTAGGTCCCTGGCAGTCCGTACCACCTCTTGTTCTTTTTTTGAGGTGAGTTTTTCCATCTTGTCATTTTGTCCAGAAGAGAATAGATGAATGAGAGATCAAAGTGCTAAAACGTTAACAACGACCCCAGAAAAATATACACTAAACAAATCAAAAGGGACCTGTAACTGGGGGGAAAGAAAGGGAAAAAAAAAAAAAGAATATGATCAAGCTGGTAAATAGAACAGAGCCACAGACTAGATTTTGGATGTATTTTGGTCTGTTGGAATAAATTACCTCCCAAAATTTTAAAGAATGAAAAACTTATATATTTTCAAAAAATAAGGTTAAATACAATGAAGGGATAGAATATGACTAAAAATGAAAATTAAAAAAGATTTTTAAAAAGGAATTGATAAGATGTTGGCTGAAAAGGGAAAGAAGAAAAATGCAACTAAAAAAATAGAAAAAGAAAAAAAGAAAGAGAAATAAAAAAATTAACTTTGAAAGACTAAAGAGGGGCACCTGGGTGGCTCACTTGGTTGGGAGGCTGCCTTCGGCTCAGGTCATGATCCCAGGGCCCTGGGATCGAGCCCTGCATTGGTCTCCCTGCTTGGCGGGAAGACTGCTTCTCCCTCTCCCACTACCCCCTGCTTGTGTTCCCTCTGTCACTGTCTCTGTCAAATAAAGAAAGAAATCTTTAAAAAAAAAGAAAGAAAGAAAGAAAGAAAGACTAATGACTCATGGTAAAAGAAGCCATGAATTCTATGTGCAGTATTCCCCTAGCGCTGGAGTTTGGCCGTTCTCATTGATCGGTAAACTTGGTCTTGGCTGGCGGTTCTTGCTGATCTTCTGGGGGAGGGACCTGTTGCAGTGGTTCCCAAATATCTTTGCCAGAGGCGGAATTGCCCCGTCCTTGCCGGTCCGGGCTAAGTAATCTGCTCGGGTTTGCTCTCGGGAGCTTTTGTTCCCTGCAAGCTCTCGGTACAGCTTTGGAGGACCAGGGTGAAAATGGTGGCCTCCCAATCTCCACCCGGAGGAGCCGAGAACTCGGGGCCCCGCTCCTCAGTGCGCCCCCAGAGAAAAGCAGTCAATCACTCCCGTGTCCCCGGTCTCCGGCCGACTCCGTGCTCACCCGGCCTGTGACCAAGCGTTTCTATCTCTGGCACCCGACCCCGTGTGGAGTCTCCAAACCCAGCAGATCCCTGCGGTGCGCTCCCGCGCCGCTCCTCCCGGGGGAGGAAGGGGAGTCTCCCCGGCTCTGCCGCTTGTTGGGTCCCTGCTGGAGGAGCAGTGGCCCGACTGGGCCACGGATCATGGTTTATGGCCACCCCGAGCTGAGAGCCCGCGCCTCGGCTCCGTCTCTGCAGCCGGCTTCCCTGCTCCGATACCTGGGAGCTCTGCCGCCCTCAGGCACCCCCGGTCTTTCTGTGACCCCGAGGGTCCTGAGACCACACTGTCCCACGAGGGTTCCACCTCCCGCTTAGCCACCGGAGCAATGTCCCTCAGCGGAGCCGACTTCTAAAAGTTCCGATTTTGTGCTCCGCGTCTCTAGCACTTGCCAGAAGCAGCCGAGGAAGGCCCCCTCCCCCGCCGTCTATCCTCCCGAATATCGCCTTGGATTCACTTCTCCGCACGTCCTACCTTCCAGAAAGTGGTCGCTTTTCTGTTCATAGAGTTGCTGCTATTCTTTTCTTCGATCTGTTGAGTTTGTAGGTGTTCAGAATGGTTTGATCCCAATCCAGCTGAATTCCTGAGACCAGCTCCTCTGCCATCTTGCTCCTCCCACCTATAACACAGTATTGTTAACACTAGTCAGTGTTGCCAGGTGTTAAGATGGCACTATAATGCCTTGTTCCCCAACCTCATTTCCTCCTTTGTGCTTTTCACAACACAAACTTCTTGGAGGTGCTTGCATGGACCTTGCTGTTTCTTGTCTCTGTGCTTTACTCATGAGTCCCCTTTTGCCTGTTTCTCTATTCTCCCATCCTTCAGAAAGCTAACTCACAGCCATCCCTTAAGAAGCAGCTCAGGTGTCTCCTTTTTCATAAAGACTTTCATATTTTCTTTTTTCTCAAGGTGTACCTCTCGTTTGTGATTGCATAATGCTCTGTGCACTTCTTTCCCGTTGTATTTACCACTTTGTATAATTATTGTTTCTCTCTGTTATGCCAGTCAATTATCAGCTCCAGCAGACTGGGAATTGCTTGATCTTTTCATTGCTAATGCATGCTAGTACTGATACATGGTTGGGCCCAAATATGGAGTGAATCTATTACATATAATGATGATTACTAGCTTGTCTTGGGATTCTCTAATTTATTCCAATTCTTTCCCTGTTTAGTATTATCAGACAGAGTGGTATATACTCCAGAAAACCTCTACAAGGAACTGTTCTCAAAACATAAAGGACTCAGAGACTTAATAAATAAGGAAATGCGCCCTTTCTCTCAAGGAATACTGATTTTTTCTCGAAGCTGGGCTGTGGACTTGGGTCTGCCAGAGAAGCAGGGAGTAATCTGTGATGCTCTTCTGCTTTCCCAGAACAACATCCCCCTCCTCTACACCATCCTCAGTGAGTGCGATGCAAGCAGGACGGGCTATTCTATGACAGTCGCCCGTACCTTAAAGCAGAAGCTGGTGAACACAGGTGGCTACACTGGGAAATTGTGCATCACTCCCTTGGTCTTCCTGCTGAATCCTGATAGAACAGCAGAGAATCTTCATGGTTCAGATTTGCAAATTTACCCCGAGTCCTATAACCTTGCAACCACCCAGCAAGTGGAAGCTCTGTTACAGTCCCTTGTGATAGTCTTGCTTGGGTTCCGATCTTTCTTAAGTGAAGAGCTGGGCTCTGAGGTTTTGAACATACTCACAGATAAACAGTATGAGTTGCTGTCAAAGAACATTCGCATGACCAGAGAACTGTTTATTCATGGCTTACCTGGATCAGGGAAGACCATCCTGGCTCTTAGGATAATGGAGAAGATCAGGAATGTGTTTCACTGTCAACCAAGAGACATTCTTTACATCTGTGAAAATCAGCCCCTGAGGAAGTTTGTGAGGTATGCCGCCTAACTATATCCATTTTCTTTTTTTTGAGTAACTTTGACTGGTTTGGCTTTAAGTTCACATGCTAAAATTCATATTGTATTTACTATGTCTAGAAGAGTTTAAGAGTAGAATTGATGGGTGTCTGGGTGGCTCAGTTGGTTAAGCCTCTGACTCTTGATTTCGGCACAGGTTATGATCTCAGGGTTGTGAGATCGAGCCCTACGTCGGCTTCTGCACTGGGTGTGGAGCCTGCTTAAGATTCTCACTCTCTCTCTGCCCCTTACCCCTCTTTAAAAAGGGGGGGTAGAATTGGCTTCCTTTGTTTGAGTGGGGAAACCTGACTATGTTTCTTACATTTTCAGCAAGAAAAACATCTGCCAGGCAGTGACCCGGAAAACCTTCATGAAAAATGACTTTCAAAAGATTCAGCACATCATCATTGATGAAGCTCAGAATTTCCGCATTGAAGACGGAGACTGGTATGAGAAGGCAAAAAACATCACTCAGAGAGAAAACGATTGCCCAGGAATTCTCTGGATCTTTCTGGACTACTTTCAGACCAGCCACTTGAGCCACAGTGGCCTCCCTGCTCTCGAAGCCCAGTATCCAAGAGAAGAGCTCACCAGAGTGGTCCGCAATGCAGATCCAATAGCCAACTACCTACAAGAAGTAATGCAGGAGGTCAAAGAAAATCCTCCACCTAACATCCCCTTGGGGTCCCTGGATATGGTTCATAAAGCTAAATGGGCTCAGGGTATTCCAGGCAACTTTGAGATTATGGAGTACTTGGACTTGGAAGAGATGGTTGTCCAAGTAGCAGAGAAATGTCAGTTTCTCTTTAGGAATGGTTATTCTCCCAAGGACATTGCCGTGCTTTTCAGCAAAGCAAGTGAAGTGGAAAAATATAAAGATAAGCTCCTAAGAGCAATGAGGAAAAGAAAAATATCTCAGCTCAGTGAGGAATCTGACCTGTTCGTACAGATCAAGGATGCATCAGATATCATGGCCAATCACATTGTGTTGGACAGTGTCCGACGATTTTCAGGCCTGGAAAGAAACATCATTTTTGGGTTCAATCCAACAGCGGCCGAGCCAGCTGTTTTCCACAATCTTCTGCTCTGTCTGGCTTCCAGGGCGAAGAAACATCTCTATATTCTGAAGGTTTCCATTTGACAGGAATATCCCAGTCTAAGAAACAGTTAGGTAGCTCTCATCTCTAGTTAACCATGAAACCATGTGACCTAAACATTTAATCATCAAATATTTAATGAGCACTCACTCTGAGGCGTATATTCTTCTAGGTGCTGGGGGGGGTGGGTTAATGTTAGGGTAGCAAATAAGATAGACAAGATTCCTTCTTTGGGGGAGAGGTAAATCATACCCAAGTACACAAATACAAGTACAAGAATTTCAGTTAGTTATGAGGGACATCAGAGTAGTAATTAGAGGTGCCTGAGATGCAGAGACTCTGTGGGTGTGTGTATGTGTGTGTGTGTGTGTGTGTGTGTGTGTTTACACATAGGTAGGTAAGTAGATAGAGGGAGAAGCTGGTTATTCAACATGGTTGGGGAAGTGCTTAGTGAGGGAAGACGTCATGAGAAGATCTTTGAGCCATGTGTGCCAGGTGGACTCAGATATTTTCACTATTTTTAATACAGCAATGCACAGACATGCCTGAGTAAGATGCACTGGGAGAGTAGGAAGGGCGGAGGGGGGTCATGTGTCTGCCCTTTTATGGGCCAGAAATGGTTGTACAATATTTCAAAATGTAAGATCAGAAGGTACAAACTATAATTTCTTATAAACCATATTACATTATTCTTTTCCATTTTATTCTTTTAATGGTGTTAGTAATTTTGATCACTGTCTTTAAAAATACGTTATGCATGTCTTTTGGTTATTTAGAATCTCAGCTCTGTAGGTCTGCTTTAGTATTAGTCCTATGGAGAATTTTAGGTCACTGCATGAAGTAAGATTCCCACAATTCCCCAGGGAGACACATTGTGTTTTATTTATTAAGTTTTTTTTTAAAGGGTCCCTAAGAAGATGAATGTACTGGACTCAAAAGTTACATTTTGCTTTTCATTTAATTTAATAACCAATGAAATGATAAAGTAAATCCAATATCTTCGTTCTGCCGAGTCTTTAGGATTTTAGCTGGTTTCTCAAAGGCTATTGATATAGAAGAATTTGGGAAGTCCATAAGTTTAATAAAACAAGAGTTGAAAGACAAAATGATAAAACAGCCAAAAGAGATGAAGAGGGATCTTGCTAAGGAAACAGATTGTGGGGGCGCCCGGGTGGCTCAGTCAGTTAGGCATCTGCCTTCAGCTCCGGTCATGATCCTGGGGTCCTGGGATCAAGTCCTGCATTGGGCTCCCTGCTCAGCGGGGAGTCTGCTTCTCCCTCTGCCCCTGCCCCTTCTCCTTCTCTCTCGCTCGCGCTCACACTCTCTCTCTTTCAAATAAATAAAATCTTGAAAAAAGGAAACAGATTGTGAAACATTACAGGAGAAAAATAAATTAGAAGCAACAAGAAATTTAAGACCCAGTTCCTGACATAGAGGAAAGCTTGAGATAATCATGTAAATGGAGAGAGATAAGACAAATATTAACATAGTTATAAAGAAGATATATCTGGAGTATAATGATCCGCTAAGAATGGATATGGAGTAGAGAATCAATAAATGAAACAGTAAAAATGTTCTAAGATATAACATGGGAAATTTTTCCTAAAATAAATCCTCAGTTTGAAAGAATTCTTAACAATTGAAGCAGAAAAATCCAATTGTGTGAATGATCATTCTGGCTTCTGATTTCTCTGGAGCAACAAGATAAAGAATAGACTGTATTTTTGTTTTCATTCAATTGCTTTTTAATCAAATCTGATCGCCTCTAATTTGAGTGGCGGTTTTTAATTGAGTGTTTAAATTAACTTTTTAAACTTTTAATTGAGTGTTTAAATTAACTTTTTAAACTTTTAAAAACGTTTTGTTTTCAAATACTTAGAGATTTACAAAAAGTTGCAAAGGAAGTACAGAGTAGTACAGAAGAATCCCCTGTACCCTTCACCTACTTTCTATACTATTTTAAATGTGATTATTGTTATGTTTGGGTTTTAATCTACCCTACTGCTATTTTTTTCCATTTTATCATCTATTCTTTGTTCCCTTTTCTCTATTTTTCTGCATCCTTTTGACTTAATTTTTCATTTTTATTTTTTTAAATTTAATTTAATTTTAATTTCAGTGTAGTTAACATGCAGTGTTTCATTAGTTGCAGGTGTATAATATAGTGATTCAACACTTCCATACATCACCTGGTGCTCATCACAACAGGTGCATTCCTTAATCCCCATCACCCATCCGCCTCCCCACCGCCTCTCTGATAATCATCAGTTCTCTATAGTTAAGAGTCTGTTTCTTGCTTTGGCTCTTTCTCTCTCTTTTTTCCTTTGCTCATTTGTTTTGTTTCTTAAATTCCACATATATGAGTGAAATCATTTGTCTTTCTCTGACTGACTTATTTTGCTTAGTATTATGCTATCTAGCTCCATCCATGTTTTTGCAAATGGCAAGATTTCATTCTCCCCTCCTCCTCCTCCCCCTCCCTCTCCCCTTCTTCCTCCTCCTCCTCCTCCTTCTTCTTTATGGCTGAATGGTATTCCATTATATATATTTATACACACACACACACATCCCACATCTTCTTTATCCATTCATCTGTTGATGGACACTTGGGCTGCTTCCATCATTTAGCTATTGTAAATAATGCTGCCATAAATATAAGGGCATATATTCTTTTGACTTAGTGTTTTTGTATTCTTTAGGTCAATACCCATTAGTATCATTACTGGATTGTAGAGTGGTTCTATTTTGAACTTTTCGAGGTACCCCATACTGTTTTCCACAGTGGTTGCACCAGTTTACATTCCCACCAACAGCGCATGAGTGTTCCTTTTTCTCCACATCCTTGGCAGCACTTGTTGTCTTCTAGATTTTAGCCATTCTGACAGGTGTGAGGTAATATCTCATTGTGGTTTTAATTTGCATTTCCCTGATCATGAGTAATGTTGGGCATCTTTTCATGTGTCTATTGGGCAATTGGATGTCTTCTTTAGAAGAATGTCTGTTAATGTCTTTTGCCCATTTTAAAATTGGATTATTTAGGGGTCCCTGGGTGGCTTAGTTGGTTAAATGTCTGCCTTCGGCTCAGGTCATGATCCTAGGGTTCTGGGATCAAGTCCCCATCCCTCAGCAGAGAGTTTGTTTCTCCCTCTCCCTCTGCTGCTCCCCCTGCTTGTGTGCTCACTCTCTCTCTCTGTCAAATAAATACATAAAATATTTAAAAAAATAAAATTGGATTACTTGTTTTTTAGGTGTTGAATTGTATAAGTTCTTTATATATTTTGGATACTAACCCTTTATCAGATATGTCATTTGCAAATATCTTGTCCTGTTTAGTAGGAAGGCTTTTAGTCTTGTTGATTGTTTCCTTTGCCATGCAGAAGCTTTTTATTTCGATGTAGTCCCAATAGTGTATTTTTGCTTTTATTTCTCTTGCCTCAGGAGACCTATCTAGAAAAATATTGGTATAACTGATATCAGAGACATTACTACCTTTGCTCTTTTCTAGGATTTTTATGGTTTCAGGTCTGACATTTAGGTCTTTGACTGCTTTTAAGATTTTATTATTGGTTTAGGTAATTTAATTATAATGACCTTTGGTAATTAAAAAAATTTCTTGTGCTTGAGATTTGTTGAAAACTCCTTGGGTCTGTGGGTTGACAGTTTTCACTAACTTTGAAAATTTTTCAGTTCTTCTCTCTCTCTTTTTTACATGATTTATCTTTTATTGGGGTGAACTTATTTTATTTAAAAAGATCCATCATCAATTATTTCCTGCAATACATTTTCTATACCCCTTCTTCTCCTCAGATACTTCAATTATATGTATATCAGGCCACTTGACTATGTTCCACAACTCACTGATGCTCTGTGCCTTAAATTTTTTCTCTGTGTTTTATATCAGCTGGTTTCTATTGCTGTCTTCAAGTTCACTATTTTTTTCTTCTTTGTACCATGTTTAATATGCCACGAATACCATTCAGTGTATTTTTCATCTTAGACATTGTTTCATCCTCTAATCCTTTTCTAGAAGCTTAATTCAGATCCTTTTTTAATATTTTTCTTGTTTCTACTTAATATGTTCAATCTTTCTTCCATTTCTTGAACATATGGAATACAATTATAATGTCTATTTCAACCTTATAGTCTATTAATTATATTGGCTGTGTTAATTCTGAGTCAGTTTCAAATGGATTTTTTTCCTCTCTATGGTTGGTATTTTCTAGCTTCTTTGCATACATGGTAATTTTTTATTCAATGCCAGACATTGTGAGTTTTACCTTATTGGATGCTGAATGTTTTTGTATTCTTACAAGTACTCTTGAGCTTTGGTCTGAGATATGGTTAAGTTACTTGGAATTAGTTTGATCTTTTTGGATCCTGTTTTTAAGCTTTGTTTTACAGAACCAGAGCAACATTTAATCTAGGGTTAACTTTTTACACCTACTGAGGCAAAACTCTTCTGAGTACTCTCTTACCTAATGCCTTGTGAATTTTGATGTTTTTCACTCTGGTTGGTGGGAATAGGCACTATTTCTGATCTATGTGAGCTCCAAGGATTGTTCCCTCTAATACTTTTGGGTGGGTCTTTCTTCATCCTCAAACATTTCCTCACAGACACAAGTTGATAAGTACTCAGCTGAATATTCAAAGGGGATGCTTTGCAGGTTTTAGAATTTTCTCTCTGTGAAGCTCTGTCTTCATTGGTGTTCTGCCCTACAAACTCTAGTTTCCTTGGCCTCCCTAAAGTCCCAAATCTGTCTATTCACTTCACAGAGATTGCCAAACTGTACCTAAATTTTCCCCTTTCTGAACTGCAGCCTAGAAACTTTCTACAGGCAGTAAACAGGGGCAGTGATAGAGATCACCTCATTAATTTCCCATATCTCAGTGATCAGTTCTTCACTGAACTCTGTCATTTCATATGTTTTGTCTGATTTTGCAGTTGCAAAGTGAGGGTAAATATGATCCCTGTTACTCAGCTAAGACAATGAAGCAATATGTATAAAGTTCTTGGGGGGAAAATTTTTGACCTAAAAATATTAAA